GCATTAATGTCGTTTCTGTAATAGTTGCCGTTTATTTCCAGCTTTCCCAAGTTATGGATGTTGTGGAAATGAATAGAGTTTATACTTTTGACAATCTTAAGACGAACAAAGGACTAAAACTAAAATATGGTGAGTCAAATTCTCGATTATTCTTAGTCGTTTGATTTCCTTTTCTTCCTTTTTCCAATTTACTTTCATGACTATGTCCAAATTAGGTACTGACGAACGTGTTTTCCGCATTGAATTCGTTTCGAATGCTGAATTTGGTCAAGAAGAGTTTTCTGATTGGAGAGCTGTCACCAAAGAGGAGGTGCAGTATACTTGCCATGTGCACCTTCATTTCTATATGGTTGACTTTAGTGCGGTTCGTTACCGACTATGGACCATATAGAAAAGAAGGAGCAAGATATCAAGAAAGCCATGAATTTCAACTACACTGATGAGGTTATAGAATATGTGAGTAGTCTTTTATCTTTTTGTTCTTTATCTTCATTCACCTTGATAGCTGTTTTTCTCATTTTTTTCTTTTTTTCAGATAGTGAACGAGAAAAAGAAGTTCTCTGATACGGTGAAAAACTTCGCCATGACCAAAGGCGAACTAATGAAGAAAAAGGTGCGTTCATTTTCTTATGACTTACTCCTGTCTTGGGTTATCATCTTGCTGCTACAAGTTCAAAACTTGTCATCTTCTCCTCTGTCCAAATTTCAATATGCAAAATTTTCTCTTCTTTCGGAAATAAATGATCAGCATTTTTATTTTGGTCACATTTTTGCAAATTTTAGCATCATGTCAAAAAACAACTTTTCTTTCATATTTCACATGATTGACTTCCCTTGCTGAAAATGTTTCCTTCTGCTTGTTTTTGATAGCTGCAGCCATCCATTGTATCATTTTTCCACCTTACTGGCACACTTGCTATCAAATTTTTGACCACTCGTACCTTTCGATGTCAAATTGGTTTGATTTTGGAGACGCAAAGTTTCTTCTATGAAAAATTGGCTCTTATCACGTTGCTGGAAACATTATTCTTTCTCTACTTGTCCCATTTATCATTATTTCTTGCTCAAAGTGACTTCTTTGATGTCCGACTTTTTCGTGCGCCATCTACAAACTTTTCATCAAATTCTCTTTTTGAACGATCTTTCATAATCTATCTATCATCGTACAGTTTTCGAAATTAGATCGCGCTAGCAGCTACTTTGGGTTATGCACTTACTGATTTTCATTTTTTATTGCTCTGATCCGCTCCCGATCTGTCACTCCCATTTCGGTAAATTGTGCAATGTTACGAGCTAATTAGCCCGTGCAAAGAAGGTGCGGGGCAGAAGATTGCGGGAATTCCATATAAGCGACATGCGTGTTTGTATGAAGGTCATATTGCACTGATTAATTATCCGGTTCGCGTTTTCGGTAGCATAAATGCGATAGATATTGATTGATTGAGATGACAGATAGATTTATATCTTAACAATGCGATTTTTCTGGGTATTATTGTGAAAATTTTGGAAAAAATGCGCAAAACGCGTTTTTCTCCGCATAAGAATAATTTTTTGAGTATAATTCATGATTCATAGTCGTGAGGAATGGCGTAGTTTTTTTCTTCATCACGTGCAAATATACGAGTAGTGTAAATAGAAGCGCAACACCGGGAAATTTGGTTGATTTGCACCGGAAATATAAGAGGATTAGTAGATGTTAGGATTTGGTTTTTTGTTACGGAGATTCTAAGAAGCAGAGCTTGTTTGTTTATCGATGTTTACTAACCGAGTTCGGGCAGAATTAGTGTCGAAATTGGGACGAAAAAGTGTACGATGAGGATTTATGAGGTTTCAATACTTGCCTAGTTTTAAATCTTGGAAAATATGAAATTTTTCCTGTATAAACGGGATTTATAGAATTCTATTGTTTGCTTAGTTTGTGAATTTTGGAAAATATTGATAAAGATTTTGGGCAGATTTTTCGTAAGCATGGAATTGGTATATCTTTTACTGTCGAATTGTACTTTTTCAAACTTTGCGAACCTTTCCGTGTAGGACCTTATCTGCGTGTCTGCCGTTTCTCTCATTCTCTAACTCTCGCCGTCTCTCTGAGTCTCTAACTCCCTCCCTACTCTCTTACTCTCTCTTTCTCCCTCACTTCGCCCTTGTTTCTTTTACTCTCTCTCTTTC